TGTGGTTCCATACCAGATTATAATATGACTCAACAATTGTGGGCATTCCACATAAATAACACAAATGCCGAATGAGTCAAGCAAACATAATTTCGCATATTCCATTTAACTTAACTGAGCAGAGCAGATAATTCCATTGCCTGCTCTCGAATAAATTGTGAATGATATGTTATTATATTTAATTATAAGCCATTTCCTCAACAATAACTATTTTAGTTATTTACATAGTTTATAAGCAATTGTTTGACGTTAGTGGTATATATATATATATGATAAATTTAATTGTTGGTTACAGAATCGATTTTGGGGTTTCTATACCCATTTCCTCCTTCAGTGATAAGTTTGAATTAATGACTTCTGTGTGTGTATGTGTTTTTTTTGTATGGAATTTATTATAATTGGCTACAGCTGCGACTTGTGCGGTATCGATCTTCTGAACAACTCCCGCAGCTGCTTAGTGTTTCTACTTCAATAGAATTGTTGCACAATGCGCTCTCTCTGTTGAAAATCATATCAGACTGCTGATTCACTAGCAACGTCTGGTTGCAGTTCCATGAAAAGCAATCGAATCGATTTCCGATTTAACAACGAAACCGAATATCAGTTTCCACAATCTTCAGACTCCAAAGACCTCCCTCCATTCCCCAACACGCCTCCACAAGAGTTCTCGGATCATGTTTCGAATTTGTTGAATTTATTAAAGACCGGCACCAACAGCTTTTCGACTTAAACTGTTTAAGACATTCCTCTTGTTTATTTTTATTTCCACTTTAAATTTCTACATTTTAGTCGATTGCAATGAGATTAACAATGTGTCAAAGGCGTATTTTATAATTATTAGAAGGTTAACCAATAAAAAACATTTATATATACCCATTGAATTTTACAGCTTAGCACCTAAAAAGAATTTTAATATTGTTTGACAATCATATTTATGGCTAGAAACTTTTGTCAATTTATGAAAAGTGAATTAATTATCTTATCAGGCGTTTAATATATATAATGCCAAATCTTAAATCGATTGAAATATCTTACAGTTGGTTTGCTTATCTCGTCTCTTGCATTAGCAATGATTATGTCCTTGCAGATTTCATTTTGGACATATTTTTTTTACATTAATATTTCTGATATATTTCATGTCTACATATTTTGTATTATTTGCGTACTACACTCGTCGATCGATACAGGCTTGAAAACTGTCTTCTAAAGCCATACAGATATGGTACAAATCAAGGATCAATGCGTAACCGAATACCGCAAAAAAAGTTTGGAAGATTACGGAAATCTTCATTAAAGAAATCACATTTTAGTAGGTTTTTTTAAACATTTTTTTTTATTAATTTTATTTATCACTTTGGGAACTATATTTCCAATTTTATATATTTTATATATATATACGATATATAATAATATATTTATCATTTTTCAAGAACTGTTTATTGGTTTATTGGAAAGAAATTCTCTTACATAGACACACTTACATTGATTGATTTGACGCAATATAAATAAAAATAAATATATTTTTTTCTTGATCCACCCACGTGACTTATAAAATATAGCTACTGGGCATAATTTATGGTCTATTAAAATACGACATTCTTATTATAATCTTTATGGTGTGCTAAACTAAATTGTCGGTCAAATCGAATCTATAAAAAACACATACAAATAACAAAATAAATGCACTCTATAATCAACTATATGTATTATGTGTTTGCTTAGTTTTAAATATGCATTGTAAATTATAGAGACCAAATATTTAAAATGGCAATCGATAGAGTTTCAAGTGCCTGCAGAAGTGAATTCAATAATTTGTACACTCAGAAAACGTTTTAGAAAAACGCCATACACTTGGAATAATTCTCATGTCAGCTTTTTTGTTACTCATATTATTATTAAACATTCGTATTTTAAATACACAAAACATAATAGATTGTTTATAAATTCAACTTAATTCAATTTAGTTTAAAAAACATACGATTTTACGGCGAGTTGAGTGTCTTCCCACTGATTTAGCTCAGTTCCAATATCGAAGCCGATTCAGTTAATTTCACTTACTTATTTTTTAAAGATTGTTTTTAAAAATAAATAATAAAAAAAACACCATATTTTTGGGAATATTGATTTAGGGCAAGCTTTTTTCTTTCTAATTTTTAGAATTTGTTTTTTCTTATATTTCGAAATGATTTCCAAAAACAAGAAAAACTTTCTAGTTTTTAGAGTGATTTTTTGCCAAAATGTAGTGTGATTTTTTTCTGTGTGTAATGCTTCCTTTAGATGTGTTTGTTTGATTTGTTGTTGTTGTCAGCGTCGTCATCATCAATTCGATACGATCGCTGGTTCGCCTAATGGGCTGTGGTCTTCGTTGGGTAAGACGGTTGGCAACGGGTGTAACGGCAACGGCGACGGAAACGACTGAAGTTGGCCGAGCGGCAACTGCGACGTCCACATCCACCGCATAATAAGCTGGAGTCTGGCTGCGGGTATATTTAGTCGTCGTTGGGTTGTGAAGGAACCCAGTTCTAGTTTAGACCGTGTTCCAAACGATTCATAACTAAGAATAGTATATCCATACAATTACTTACATTTTCCATTGTGTTGCAGTGTATTATCTATCTGAACTTAAGGTATATTTATACTTTTGTTTCATCATTGTGCATTATTGCAAGTTCAATAATAACCTATAATTTATATTCAGAATACAACAAGTGATCTTAATCGAACAGACTGAAAAGTGTTGCATGGCTTTGTAATTGCTGAGACAAATGATTGCGAAATTGTGTTTTTCACTTTTTCAACTTGTTTTTGCTGTTTTCAAATTCAATTTAATTTGTGTTGTTGCAAACGTATAATTCACATATATGTGATTTCAGATCAAGCAATTAACTCTTTTTAGTTTCTCAATACGGTTTTTTGGTTTTGCTTAAAATTCAAGTTTGAAGAACAATTTTTTTTTGTTGTATGTCAAACAATCGTTCAATTCAGTCGGAATCAGTTAAATATATATCTGTAGAGCTGAAAAACAAAGAGTTGAAATTTAAGTCAATATATGTTCAGAGCAAACATCTGTGCCACTTCTCTCTGTCTCTCTCGCTATTTATATATCTTTCTCTCTCTCTATTGCTGCTATTACCATATTTAAATTAAGCAAAAATCTGCGTGCAACAAGTGGCAGCAAGTGAAGGTTGTAGTTTTCTAAACAACCGGGTTTGCATTTCTTAATTTCAAGGCGAATTTTTCGATAATTTACAAAAAAAAAGATGTGCAAATTCCATGTGTGTTTTGTTTCTTTTCTATGTGTGTGTAAATAAAATTCCAACATAACATTTTTTACTTAGTATTTTAAATTTTCACATATACAAACATTTCACATAGCTCGCAATTTGAAGAAAAAAACGTTCGATAAAGAAGAGAGCAAAATTCAATTCCACTTTCTGAATTTCAGAAATGATTTTATCTAAAAATCAAAGTTGAATATTCTTTGAAAAGAATAGAAAAATACACCATATTTTTGGGGATTGTCGATTTAGATCAAGTCTTTATAATATTAAGAAAAACGTTTTCTTATTTTTACAACTCATTCTTATAAAACAGAAAAACTTTCTAGTTTTTAGACCGATTTTTTCTGTGAGTGTAGCCAAAAACTATGCAAGATGTGGGTTAAATCATTTGTGGGCGCAAAAGTGGGCGTGAACGAACAATTTTCTTTCACAAATCGTCGAATGGAATTATTTAGACACTTCTAATTCCTTAATAATTGTTTCCAATTTTGTTGGGGATATAAGATTTATATTTTTTTTTTGGGCGCCACTGGGCCACTGGGTCAACAAATAGTTTTTCTGCTTTTAACGAGTCACTTTGGTGACGAGTGCCAACAGAAGCACGAATATATAGATTTCAAGCAAGCGAGGATGTTGCAGTTGGGGGTAACCGATTGTGAGACACTCTGAGACCGTAGGTAATACCATCTGATATCATCAGGTGCCACAGAAGTTTAGCTTTAAAATTTCGATAGAAATAGGTACAGAACAGTATATGTTACAAGTTTCTCTAGTCTCTAGTCTCTAGTCTAAGGGTGTCAATCAAACAAAGTTGCATTCAAACAGGCAAACAGACAGCATGACGCACATTGCGCAAAATTAATATAGTCTTTTACCTTTGGTATCAGAGTATAAAGAGACTTTGCACAAAGTCAATAGACTCTGCTACCTATTAATAATACATCTCGCATATACATATGCATATAAATAAATAAAAATATATACATTGATGTGTGGCATTTGTTGCATATAAAAATAGCCTTAGACTGGTATAATTTGCCTTATCAATAATATACAAAATTTTGTTTGTTTTTCTGTTGTTAATTTTTGTATTTCTTTTTTTTTTGTGCTGCATAGGTCGCATTATCGATTTTCCATTTATTTTGTGTTTTAGCTGAAGTTGACTTTTAATTTGTAATCCATGCCAGACAATTCAAAAATATCACTTCAGGGGAAGCATCATAGTCTTTTTTAGAAACAGCAGACCACATAAACCATGCTCTGATAATAATACGATCCATGTTTGCTATTCATAGATTATAGCTAAAACTGTTGCTAAATCAGGAATTACAAAAATAATAATAAAACAGGTAGATTATGATCCGATGTTGTGCTGTGTGCTGTTGCTGTGTGGCTTTCGTTTGATCGGTCATAGACATGGGGCTATCTGGCAGTTATTTGACCGATTAGCTTCTTTTTTAGTTTGTTTTTTTTTTTTTTTTTTGGCGCCAAATGAATTTTAAGTCTGCATGTATCAAAATGAATCATATTGATTGAGAAGCTTGGATTTTGTTGGGGATTGGCAGTTGTTCAATTGAATATCAGTCGAGTCGAGTCGAGTGTTTCAGTTTCAATGAAAATTCAAAATTTAAAGAAAACATTTAGAACGATAACCTTTTCTACAAGCTCTAGAATACTGGCTCGCATTCTAACTCTCTCTCAATCTTTATGACATTCCAGCAATGGGCCTATTAAGCGAGGGCAATCCACTGTCGTGGGAGGAGACCAAAAAGCTGGCGGATCATGTACGCGAGCATGGCATCAATCAGTTCATAAATCTGTATCACAGGCTCAAGGATCGCCAGGGCGACATACTCAAATGGGGTGACGAGGTCGAGTACATCATAGTCAAGTTCGATGATGAGAAGCAGGTGGCGCGTGTTGCGCTCCGCGCCAATGATCTGCTGGCCAAGCTCAACGAGAAGGAGCTTGCCGATCCCAATGGCGTTAAATCGCTGTGGCGTCCCGAATATGGCGCCTACATGATCGAGGGCACACCGGGCAAACCCTTTGGCGGCCTAATGGCCCACTTCAATTTGGTCGAGGCAAATATGCGCTATCGACGCGAGGAGGTCACCGAGCTGCTGGCCAGCGATGAGTGTGTGATGTCGATAACAAACTTTCCCCGTCTCGGTGCGCCCAATTTTACGTATCCGTTGCATCAGCCACGTCCCGATGATCTGCTGAGTGCGGCCCGATCCCTGTACTTCCCGGACGAGGCCATCTTTCCGGGCCATCCACGCTTCAAGACGCTCACGCGTAACATTCGCATGCGACGCGGCGAGAAGGTCTCCATCAAACTTAAGGGTAATCATCAATTAAGTTCAACTATTTGTTGAGAGAGTCTGCAAATCTATTTGCTAACCGTGCATTCATTTTGTTGCAGTATTCAAAGATGTGAACACAAAGCTGCCCGTTGAGGGTGCACCGCCTGGCGAACCGGATGTGGTGCTGCTGGATGCGATGGGCTTTGGCATGGGTTGCTGCTGCCTCCAGCTGACCTTTCAGGCATGCAACATTACGGAGGCACGTCGCCTCTACGATCAACTGGCACCGCTCTGTCCAATCATGTTGGCACTGACCGCCGCCTCGCCGGTTTATCGCGGCTATCTAACCGAATCGGATTGCCGCTGGAATGTGATTAGCTCGTCGGTGGACTGTCGTACACCCGAGGAGCGCGGCCTGGAGCCGCTCAGTGAGAATAAGTTTCGTATTGCGAAATCACGATACGATTCGATCGATTCGTATCTGTCGCCCGAGGGCGCCAAATATAACGATGTGAAACTGACGTACGATGAACATGTCTATCAGCGTCTAATCGAGGGAGGCATCGATCATCTGCTTGCGCAGCATGTGGCCCATTTGTTTATAAGGGACACGGTGTCGCTGTTTAGCGAGAAGGTGCATCAGAATGATAACGAGGATACCGATCATTTTGAGAACATTCAGTCGACCAATTGGCAAACGATGCGCTTCAAGCCGCCGCCACCAAATAGCTCAATTGGCTGGCGTGTCGAGTTTCGTCCGTGCGAGGCGCAAATTTCTGATTTTGAGAATGCGGCAATTGTCTGTTTTGTGGTGCTGCTCACCCGTGTCATTCTCTCGTATCAACTCAATTTCCTTACGCCCATCAGCAAGGTGGATGAAAATATGCAGACGGCCCAGAAGCGTGACGCGTGCCGCAAGGAGAAGTTCTGGTTCCGCAAATCATCCAAGTCGACGGAACAGCGTGCGGCTCGTGCCCAAATGAATGGCGGCTTGGCAGCCACAACAAATTGCCAAAGCCATGGAACCGATGAGCAGCCACTCGCCAATGGCACCGCCAAGCTAAATGGTCATGCCAATGGACTCAATTGCAATGGTAACAATGCCAACGGCAATGGCAACGGCAATGGCAATGGCAGCGATATACACAATGGCACCGATAGCGATCACACCGATACGGATGATGAGGAGAACGAAATGTTCCAGTTGCTCTCCATCAATGAGATCTTCAATGGCAAGGTGAGTGGGTCAAGTGCTAAATATTGAATATTTATTATTAACTTTTGTGTGTATTGTGTGTGTGTTGCAGCCTGGCGTATTTCCTGGCCTGGTGCCACTAATACGCAGTTATCTGCAATCCATGGAGGTGGACACGGACACGCACTGCACGATTGAACAGTATCTGCGCTTCATACAGAAGCGCGCTGCCGGTGAGCTAATAACAACGGCCACCTGGATACGCGAACAGGTGCTCAGCCATCCGGATTACAAGTGAGTCTGATTGATTGATTGTTTGATTGATCGATTGATTGATTGTAATTGATTTCCGTGTGTTTGTGCATTTGCAGAAAAGATTCGGTGGTCAGTGATCGCATTAACTATGATCTGCTCAAGTGCATCAAGGCCATGCAGGAGGGCAAGCATATTGAGCCAGCGCTGCTTGGCCAGGGCAATCATTCCAAGACGAAAGATTTCATTCCGCCCGCCCTGCAGAAGCAGCTGGCCGAGAATTGCTGCTGCGAGGACAAATGATCGCGCTGAATCAATCAATCGCAACTCGCAACTGCAACTTCAACAAAACAACAACATAACATACATACAACATATGCATATATATACAGATATATATATATATATATATCATTATGTGTACATATATATATATATATGTATATACGCTGGCAGCAGCTAAAGCTGAATCTGACACAGATCGAGCTGACCAGCCGCTGGTGGACGAAACGTGACGAGGGGATGCGGATGCAGATGCGGAGGAGGATGTGCGCTTGTGTTGCAATTGCGCACATTGGGTCCTGGGCGATCGATGTTGGTCGGTGCGATGGCAGGGGGACCGGACCCGGTGTGGTGTGGGGAAGGGGGGGTGTCAACATTTATCAATATTATTATTTTTGTAGCATAATTCTAACAAGTTAACAATTACAACGCAAACTGAGCAAATGTGTAAACCAGACAACACACAGCGTGTGTGGGAGAGAGCGAGAGAGAGAGAGAGGGAGATATAGTGCACCAGAAAGATTGTGTAAAACGCGCAGGGCAAAGCCGAAGGCGTGGCATGTTTAATATGTTTCGAGATTGATTGCAACAATGTATCGAATGGATGGTTGTACGGACTAGCGGATAGTGGATCTGTGGGACGGAGGACGGAGTGTAGGCGAATTAGTTGATAGGCGTGTGCCGCTAGTTGCAAAACTATTATTACATAATGCATAATAATTATTATTACAATTTACTGGCTACTTTATTATATACATTTACTATTATTTAATATTCTGTGCTCTTCTTTTTAGTTTTTCTGTTTTTTAAAATGAGATCTGTTTGTATTATTATTACTACTAAATAATTACGTTAGCCGCAAGTTAAGCAAACTATGCTTTAAAGACCGCCAACTGCGTTTGGGTATCTCGTTTCGTTTCCACATTCCCCCCGTATCCCCAATTCTGCCCCAAACCCAAAGAAGAAGAAAATTATATGACCAGGCGCAGTTAGCTAAATCTGAACCAAGAGTCGTTCCACATGATGCAATAAACAAAATCTACCTAACCATTATGAAATATATAGTTCAAAGTAAACCGAGTTGTTTTTTTTTTATATATATTTACATGCATATATACAATTATATATATATTTTTTAAATGTTTGGTTTTTTTTTCTAATTTTCTACAAAGTGCTGTTATTAAATTTGTATATGTAAATGCTAAACAAAAAAAAAAAAAAAATGATATGAAAGCATTAAAAAACTTGTATTATTATGATTTATTATGTGTGTATGTACTTGTAACACGATTACTATTATTATTATTATCATTATGGCTATCGTACTCTAAAAACATTATTACTGCAGTTAGTGTGACCGAAAGCCAAGAAAATAAAACAAACACATTGAAAACTCTTGTTGAAACTTAATTATACGTTAATTTGTTGTGCCCTATATAAGACAAAAACAAAACAAAAACAAAAAAAAAGAAGACAGTTTAAAGATCGTTGTTCTTTAATAAAAATATATACATGTATAACAGAACAAAAATTTATATAAATACATAGATTTATAACTGTTTTGCAAGAATGTGTATATATGTGCATGTGTTGTTCCTTTCGTAAGATTTATAAAGAAACAACTTTTGATAAAATGCCTTCTGAATGAGATATATAAAATACATGCATACATATTAAAAAATTAACAAATTATACTTAGACTTACATACATACATATACATATATACATATATAGAGAGAGAGACACAGAAAGAAAAAGATAAAACGAAGCAAAGTTAGGGAAACAATGAACTTTTAACTAGACTAGCGTAAATAGCGAAATCAAAGAAATATAATGCATGATCAGAATGTGCTACTTTACTTACTATACACCAATCCATACATACAATTAATTGTACTTATACAAAATAAATTTTGGCATCGGAAAAAAAAAACAAAAAAAAAGAAAATGGAAATAATAATAAAAGCAACCATATTTTTAGCCAATTTAAATCATATGTACATCACTTGAAAATTGTCTTGCACATGGTGTGGTCAGAACAGCATTTAAGTTAATATATTTTCAAAAACAATTTGTGTTCGTTCGTTCGGTGTGTTGATTTGCCAGCTCTGCCAATGGGCGCTAACAGTATTTTCATAATATCAAGTGCATATTAATATCTACATATGTATACCAATCATCGAATGCAAATAAAAACAATATTGCAGCTGATTTGCAAAGACTTTCATTTTTATTTCCAAATATTTATGCCATAAAATTGATTTGGGCGCATGCACAAAATTGGTCTTGCCCATCAATTTTGCCTGTGTATCAGCGTACCAATTTTCGCTTTTAGTACTATGTTGCTCCGTTCTGCGTTATGCTGCCGCCTGTTAACGCTCTGTTAACCTTACGTTGGGCCAATTACGTTGTGTTTTTCTTTTTGCTTTGTTTACATCTCAAGCCCCATATTAACATACAATTTTCAATTTACATATTCTTTTATTTTTGGAAGACAACGTGTGTGTTTAAATGTTACGTTACAATGTCCAACCCTTCTAGCAAATATATTGCATTGTCTCTGCGTGGTGTCCAAATATTTGTGCATTTGCACATGCATGTTTGAATGTAATTTAGTTGATCACAACAAATAATTAAATAAAGAAAATCAGCTGTAAACAGTAAACGGCTACCGTCTCCTATGTGAGTGTTACGCGACACGTTCGTGCACTGCAATTAAATATATTGTTAATTATTAAAGCGTCGAAGCATCGAGTGTTGTGAATGTGTCATTGCAATTATTTAATTTGTTTTGTTTTGTGAATCACATTCTGCATTCCGAGCAAAACAAAAACACGAAAAATACCGTTAAACTGTTAGTGCGCCGCCGTGCGAGTCTATGTATGTGTGTGCTTTTCTTGGGTGGAGTATATATTTGATGTATGCGTATATACAGTTATACACACATACATACATATTAGCTAGAGATGGACGCGTGTCGAAATTTGTATACGATTACAATTTTAATAGTTGCACGCTATATCCTTATGCAATATATTTACTTATACTCTTTAATTATATAATATTTATGATATTTCGTAAATTGGCATCAGTTTACAGTTTTTACTGTTGCTTGATTTAGATGGTTTTATTTTATGCCATAATACTTCAAAGCTGGGCTGTCGTGATAGAGAACACGATACGCGCCCAACTCTAACATTAAGAATAATGTATTTACTTGCGATGCTCTGTTGTATCCTTTTGCTCCGTTTCCGCATTAAAATCTCTCTAGTGTATGTGTGTTGTGTGCCGCTCTTAGAAGAACGAAATGAGACCACAAATGTGTTAAGCTGGGCAGGCGAAGCAAAACGGGCAAAAAGTATGGCTACAAATTGAAAACACGGAAAATTAACAAGAAATTGCAATATACAATACTCGTCGGCATAAGGGCAACAGACGGAGTGGACTGTTGGGCGGACAAGATAAATGACGAGGCAACAACAAGTGATAAATAATCGCAAACTGCAACTGTAAATAAGTACATACATCCATACACACACATACGTAGATGCATGTGGTTTTACATGCTTATATAAATATTTATAACAAATAACGCGGAAACGTCGTAACACGCCCATAGCGAAATCCATAAAGTGTTGCATACGAGGAAAATACTCCTGGTCAAACAACAACAAAAATAGCAGCGCAGACAGTGTTGCCAAGTGGCGCAAAGTGTAACAATAAGTAACGTAACGTCCTTGGTAACGGCAAACGTTAAAACTGGAACAGGCATAAAAAGAACAAACAGAAGGACGGGCATACAGCGAAAAAAAGGTGTGCTACAAAAATATGGGTAAGTGGGTTGTTTAACATTTCAAAAAAATATACAAATGTGTATGTGCGTATGTATATGTCTGTTTGTGTGTGTGAGTGTGAGTGTGTAATTGAGAGTGTAGTGTAGCAGTTGCAGGTGACAATGGCCGCCGCAGTAGCAATTGACAGTTAAATTAGTTAGATACCAGAAACGCAGAGAGCAAGAGCAAGATGGAGGATGAGAGAGAGAGAGAGAGAGAGAGAGATAGAGGTAGAGAGAGAGAGCACAAAACATTGAGAGTGAGCGAACGAGCGCCGCTGTTTGCGAGCGGGAAAGTGCTATGTCCTGTTTTGAAACGGTTTTTCTTTTAGTTATTCCTACACACAGTAAAAGGTTTTAGCATGCGCACTTGTATAGGTATAGGTGTGTGTGTGACGAAAACAATGTAAGCTTAAGAAAGTTCAAAAGGACACACACAATATACAAATTGCATTTTTCTGTGCGCTGTAATAATGCCTTTTGTCTTTTGCCTTTTGCGCCTTTGTTCTCGCTGTTTTTTTTTTTGTTACTGACGCCGTTCGTTTAATGCATTCGTGCCTCGCTCCCACTGTGTGTGTGTGTATGTGTGTGTGTGTGTGTCTGTGTGTGTGCATAGCCAAAGTCTCTGCAAGCAGTTGGAGCCCTCGGCAGTGAACTTTTTAGCGCCTGGCTGCCAGGAAGGGCCGCTAGCACAAGCAAAAGCCCAGGCGAGTGCATCAAAATTCGCTTCACTGCGCTTTTGCGGTGTGTTGTGATTGTGTGTGTGTGTGTGTGTGTGTGTGCGATTTGTTCACGCCCCTTTACAGTTACAGTGGTCGATCCGATATATTGAACTTCTACTAATTAACATTTTCAATATATTCTAAACTTAGACTTTCTGATATTTCTATTTATATATTTCGCATATTGCAGAGTAATACAAAAATTGCACTTGATAATTTTTGGCAATTTGAAGCGTTCAACATTGTGAGTGATGACTGTATTATAAATGTAAAGTTATTCAACAAAAAAGGACACATTTTTTGCGTATAAATTTAAAATATTCTATATGTTAATTTATTATTATTATTTTTGTTGTTGTTTTTCAGCAGCAGCAGCAGGAGCAGTGTCAACATCGCCCACAATAGCAACAGCAGCAGCAACACCAACAGCACCAACAGCAACAACAACTGCAGCGGCAGCTGAAGTTGGCGTCGGCATCGATACTGGGAACGGCATTGAGATGCTGAAGGCACTCTATGATTTTCAGGCGGTTTATCCCAAGACGATTAGCTTCGATGAGGGCGAATATTTTATATTGTATCAGACATCCGCACGCCAGCGTAACTGGTGGCAGGTGGTTAGCATGAAGGGCAACATTGGCTTTGTGCCATCAAATTACGTAATGAAGATTAAGGTAGGTGTCGACAGACAGCAATTCCTGTTTGCTTAGCCAGCCAGCCACAATCAATTTGATTTTATTTTTATGCAGGTGGAACATGATTTTCTCATCAGTTTTCTCAACTCATCGATTGAGTCGCTGGAGAAGTGCACTGATCCAGAGATAAATGGCATCATGTCCAAGGATGAGCTGCTCGACAGGCTGCGCGAAAAGAAGAACACCATGGAGCGTCTCTATGCCGTAAGAATGCTTCGTCCGAAATTAGATTTGCTTAGCACATTGTTGTTAAAATGTTGTAGCCAGTTTTAATTTCGAAGCGACCTTTAAATTTGATCGATTAAACTAATTGAGTGACTTATATTTCCAGGAGAGTTGGGAGCGTGATGGGGACTCGTCGCTGTCGTATTCGCACAGCTGCAGCGACAAGCAGCAGCTGAGTGGCAGCCACAATCATTCGCATCGGCACTCGCACTCGCACACGCATCCACACCAGCTGCATTCACACCAATCGCAAGGGAGCAACAGTCCGCCTGCTATGCAACGCCTGGACATGAGCAAGAAGAGCATGTCTAGTCCGGCGGTGGGCGGAAAAATGCCGCACTCGATGCCCGAATCGCCCAGCATGGGCAGCATGCAGCAGCTCCAAAGCAGCAGTTGCACCATACAGACGCCACAGCAGCAGCAACAGCAGCAGCAGCAGCAGCAGCCGTTGCCAGCGCCTCCGCTAGTGGCCAGCACATCTGCAGCAGCTGCAGCTGCTCAAGCACAAGCACAAGCGCAAAAGGTGTCCGCATCCGTTTCGGATGTGACGCAGGACAACAGCATTACCTCGGAGCCATCGGAGACGACAACGACAACAACGACCACCAGCGAGGATGTGGTGACCACCTACAAGGAGACCAGTCAGCTGAGCGCCAGCAACGGTGCAACAACAACAGCAGCAGCTGCAACCGCCGCAGCCGCCGTCGCCACAGCAACAACAGCCGCAGCATCAGGTGCAGCAGCAGCATCATCATCATCTGCCGTCGCTGCTGCATCGCACAAGCCGCACAATGGCAGCAGCAGCACTGGTGCCACTGCCAGCCACGACGAGCCGCTCAGTCTGAGCCTCAGCCAGGGGGCGGATAGTGCGGCCGACAAGTCCGAGGAGGCGAGCGATGACGGCTGCAATGGCTGCATCGATGCGGCCAACAACAGCGTCGACAATAGCCAGGCGCTGGACGAAAGCATCGAGAGTCCATCGCTATCGCATCGCCTCGGTGCAGCGCTCGCTGCCGGCAATGGCAATGGTAATGGGCGTGGCCAGCTTAAGGTTGAATCATCGGATGTGTATCAAATTGTGGATGCGTTGCGACGCAATACGAATCTTAGCTTTGATTTGTCCTGCGAGGCGCTGCGCGTCGTGCTAACTAGCCTGGAGCAGCTGTATAATGGTGCCATCAATCCATATCTGGAGGCAGTCGCTGTGCACGTAACCGGCAAGGTGGCTACTCCCAAAGAGCTACTGGGCATCACGCACGACTCGAAGCGGTTGCAGTATCTGTTTGCCCAACTGGCCGATTGTAAGAATGATACGGAGCAGCGCACCTGGATGCTTTACGAGGATGAGGAGGACATTATGCATTTTCTCGAGGAGCTTGTTGAGATACTGGTGAGCTCTAAAAAGAAAAGAAACCACTATTTATTTTTGGGAAATCCTTTCGAAAGTCGTTGAGATTTTGTTGCCCAAAGAAAGTAGTTGAATAAAATGATTTGTTAAATATTCGATAATGATGATATACTCAGAACATCATCAGTGAATTCTTAGTCTACTCATATTTAAAAAATCCGAAAATGATTTATATGCATTTATAATTTAATATATTTTAATTGGACCACATTTCTCATCATTGTAGAACAATGCGGATGAGAACATCAGCTGCTACGAGATGTCGTGCGATCAATACCAGATGTTCATCAATCTGGTGCAATACTATCAGATGGAGACACGCTGGTCCATCAAACACCTTTTGCTTAAGACTTTCACTGCTGCCTGTCACTTGGACCACATCATTGTTGACATACTTCTAACCTCGGTTCTGCCCCTAGAGATTGTGAGACTGTATAGAAGACTATCAAAAGTAATTGCAATTAAATCGAATTTGCTTATCAGGTAGAGGACATGAAGACACACTTTGCCAATTTGGATCGCTTCAAGCAACTGGTCAAAATGCTGACCGTAATCTTCTCACTGGGACAGCTAATGCCAGTTAATCATCAAGGTGCGTTGCTCGGCAAATGTTTACCTTTAGGATTTGTATTCAATTGGAGTCAAGTGTTGCATTTATTGTGCCTTTCTCTTATGATTTGATCGGTTAATAATTGATGCATTAATATAACTGATCGATTTTGTAACGGATACACCTCAATCAAAACTTCAAATAATATTTTATATATGCATTTATATTTTACTATTAACTATATTGCAACTTCATATGATATTTGACATGTATACAAACTGCAAACAATACAAATTCGTTGTAAATTTAAATTGTACATGTAACTTTATAATTTCGTTTAGCTGCATGTAAGTCAGAAAAAAAAACAATTAAGAATTGGTAACAAGTAATTTAAAGCATTTAGCATATTTGAAATGGGACATTACATACAGAATAGATTTATAATTAATTTAATAATTCCATTTGCAGATTACTTGGGCGTGCATTTTGCCAGCTTTCTGCTGGAAATTGTTGAGGGGAACAATCCGGAGCTGCTGGTGGATATGGTAATAGCCCTAATACTGGCCTTTAATCAGCAGTTCGGGGAGCATACGGTCAATGTGATCATTGAGGCCATGCAGAATCTGCCCACGGGCAAAGTGTTCACCGAGAAGCTATTGCTATTGCTCAATCGTGAGGGTAAGTTGCACACTATTCGTTAGTAACTAGCCCATTCCTAACTCTCTTCACTTTTAATGATCTTAACAGATGATCCGACGCGACTGCTCAAACATCATAATGAAAATATGAATACGGTGCTGCGTATGTTTATTGACATATTCAGTCATGCGGATACGGCTGGCATGTTTTATACGAATGACATTAAGGTGCTAATAGACATTGTGGTGCGTCAGCTTTCCGATTTGGATGCGGGCAGTCCGGTAAATATGCTAAATAATATGATAGCCAGCCAATTAAGCTAATTTCTCAATTTTTTTGTACACTTTGTGGTAGACACGTCCCTGCTATTTGGAACTGTGCCGCCGCATTTTGCGCAATACAAATTATCAGGAACATCAGCATCGCAAGCATGATCTCATGAAAATCTTTACACGCATCTTCTGCGAGGAGACCGAATGCAGCGCATCCGATCAGCAGCTTGTGCGCGAGATAGCCAACGAATTTCCTCAATTGTTTAAGGCATAAACCTAACAATGGAAACCAAAATATAAAATAAAATAAAAACAAAAATATAACGAACATTAAGAAAACACTCCTATAAACCAAACAATGAATAAGAATGAAAAACGAAAACAAAAACCAAATCCAAAATGTAAAGCGTTGCTAGTGAGGCTACCAAATGAAGCCAAAAAATTGTTCAATTTTAATTTCAAATAGTTTACAAAAAAACAGCGCATCAGCAGGCATTAGCATTATACAACTTTCGGAAAGCTTTATCAAATCCACTGCATTTCACACTTTTACAAAAACATAATTATACATCTAGCTTAATACTAAGTTTCGTTTTGACGGTCTCCAGCAAATTGTTCAGTTTCATGACATTTCGTAGTGTATCTTATGAAGCAAAGGCAGCATACAAGTTACGTATGTATGCCACCATTATAGAACTATGACCAGTATCTATATTTGCTATATACTATATATATATATATATATATATATGATTATTGATTATACATACATACATAGACATTTATATTTAAGTCTGAGAAAAGCCAAAATCATTACTGCAATGTTTGGATGATATGATAAAAATATAATTTTGATTTTAAAATGCAGGCATTTTCATTTTTTAATAAACTATTTTAGTGTATAATATATACATACATATGTGCACATACATACATACTGTGTATTTTTTAGAGACTATCAACCAAATTTATAGAAAGGACAAGACACAAATTTTACATAAAAATTTATAGTTAAAAAAGGCATGCAATTGATTTGTTTAGCAACAAAAAAAATATATATATATATATATCTAAAATTATAAATAAATAACAAATTAATAACTTTTGGAAAAGAACAAACATTATAGACTCACTTCAACCAAATTATATTTATTGTAAGTCCATAAAGTAAAAGAGAAATGTTAATTGCAATCAATATATGAGAATTGGTATTTAATCAAATCGAATTCGGTGACGAAACTAATGTTACATTTGTTTATATAATCTATGAGAAACAAATTGAAATACACAAAATCGACGACTGTTGTTAAAGCTCAGCCGCTAAAGGCATAAAAACCATATATGACAGTAAGATCAAAAATGCAAAACAAAAAAAAAAGAAAAAGAAATCCGAATAATAAATACAAATACAAATAGAAAAATATACAAATTTGTTGAGATAGAACAAAACACTCTTAACTTAATCACTATCTCTCTCTAACTCAGACTCTTACTATCCCTATCCCTGTATCTCTCTCTCTCTCTATTTAATGCACACATTGAACAAGTGAAATTTAAAATGTGTTTTTATAAATTTGTTTATTTATTTGTAAGCCGTTTTTCATTGGTAACGAAGTTTATAAAACTATTAAGTTTATTGTTAGCATTGTTGAATTGTATCAAAGTAAAAGAAATGTACAAAATAAGAAACAATTATTATCTAAATGATTGATCGGGGCAAAAAAAAAGAAAAGAAAAAACTAACCAAATGCAATTAAAAAGCCGCACACTTAAATCAAATATACAAAAATATTCATACTCAAAAGTACTCAAAAGCAAATTGCATTTCAAATTTTGTACTTTTTCGATTTAAATGCCAATAATGACCATTAAAACAGACAGAAAATCAGCAGAGAAACGTTTTAAATGAAATTTAACTATTTATAAAAATTTAGCAATCAAGTTTTCAACTTTGTTAATTTGCTCAGTTTTAACCAAAGAGAACACACGAATATTATTATATTATTATAATAAATAAAACAAATTCAAAGACAATTAAAAAGCAACGCAAGACGCATTGAAAATGTAACAAACAATGAAATTGCAGTAATTGTAAAGAGTAAAACAATATAATAATGATATAAAATAAAATTTAAAATAAAATTTACATTTTTATTGCCGGTTTGTATTATGGGTTTCTGGGCTAGCATTTAATAACTATTGTCTTACTTTGACTTATTGAAATTTTCTGAAAATTTTTGATAGATAGAGCTCATCCTTGCGCATTATATCCTTTGCAAAACATGAAGGGATTTGGCCGAGATAGATATATATAGTTTTTTTAAAGAATTATCCTTGCGTATTGACTCAGCCCAGAACTATGCTACTGATTTGTGGAAGAGTAGCTTTGATATTTCTCCCCTAAGAATATGCTTTAATAATGAGATCAATTACAATTGCAGATTCATAACACACACGATTTTCCATAGTTTTTCTTTTTAATTGCATACATTTATTCAAAATTATAATTGTTCCGCATGAAATTTTACCAAACGTCCAAACTAAATTTATATGCGGCAATTTGGAAATAATAAAAATAGCCTTGTGAATAATAAGATAAAGAAATTCCAATCATCTTTGTTTGTTCAACACATGGGTAAGTTTAGTTTATTTTGCGATTTACGAGTATAGAGTACATATGTATGTAAGCAGGTGCCAATTTTGGACACGGTTATGTTATTTAAGTGGTATATTATCATCTGTGCTTCTTGCATGCTACCTTTCTTTAGACGTGGCAGACATGTGTATAACAGTATCAACTGCTAAATGTGATAAATTTATAAATTACATATGTATATATATATATATATATATTGAAGAATATTGTTTCTAATGCATATATTTGTAATAAATTTAAGTGCTAATCGAATTTTGACAAGAAGACATTTGCCATTCTGTTGACAATACGATCCCAAACAACAGCAACATTTAACTACGGCATAGGACCGCTATGGTAAATTAGTTAACATGTTTATACATATACATAGACATTCATTAGTATAATACTATATATGTGATTAGTTTACGTACATCCATTACGAGTCGGTTAACTAGTGGGATTACAAGTGCAACTGTACTAAATTTCCATCAAAAATATTGTAGTATTCTCCCGTAGAGATCTCCATAATGGCGATTCACATCTTCCTTACTAGTAGGGTAGTCGAACAAAAGTGTTGTCAAGCACTGCTCCTCCAGAGCGCTGAAAGAGTGCCGTAAGTTATTAGGAATACCATTAGCACTGCTACTTAAGTTTACCTCTCACTGATTACAATTGTTTTCCAATTTGTTTTTCGACTAGCCGCTGCGCCGCCGCACCACCGAGTTGTCGCGCGGGGCGACTATCGTTGGAGGCGTTCACGCCCCAAGTTGAAGCACAACTGTCAGCCGTGTGGGCGATAAGTGGCGCCTTTTATACCGTTATTTCTGCTTGGCCCCATCTGCGTGTCCTGTACACAATTTTACGCCCAGATGCGCATCTAACCTGATTCATTTATTGAGCGCTTGTCCAACACTGCTCAAGCATATTGTTCATTGCACTTTAATTCGATTTTGATTGGAAGCACTCTTATCGCAATTGTGCACACATCCCAAACACCAGACTATGCTCAACAGTCTCGCCTGCTTAACATGTGCTTGTACATATATGCTTATATCCTTGACGTCACTTCCGACGATTTTTGTTTTCATTTTAGCAAACAATATATAGGCTAAGTATGCACTCGGAAAAAAATCTCACTGAATTTTAGAAATTCGCTTTAGTTTTGGCGCCAGATATTCTTAAAACCTGAGTTTGCATTTCAGATTAAAAAAAACGAATTATAATTTTACGAAATATGTTTTCTTACATATGGAAATTATTAAAAAGAAAACAAGAAAAACTTGTTCGGATATTTACTCTCCATGTACGTATATGTTAAAGCTGAATGTTACACATGATTAAAGATCAAGTCAAAGTATTCCAATGCACCACACTCGCTTGGAATATGTCCGGTTGGTATCACTTGTATATTCTTATGCGTCTTAAATAAATATATATCCTTAAGTCCAACAACACAAACGATACTTCAAATATTTTGAGCAACTTAAAATCAATACATTCGGTGACAGGGTTCTATTTTCATTGACGTCATTGAATGGTTTCAATTTCATTCATAAAATTTGTTGATTGGAAACAGTATGTACGTATTAGAAACACTTCAGCGGAGTTGTAGCTGTGGCATGGACGATGCGCATTGGTGCACATGTGCGATAAGCGAAATTGAATCAATCAGTGGCAAATAGAAGTTCACTCGGAAAACTGCGTCTTAAACGTTGCGTGGGCGCTGTCCTTCCTATTGGGTCCTTGGCTAGAAATGTTTGTATAAAAACGGAGCATCGCAGCAGAGAAAATCATTCAAGTTCCGAAGCTTGCTGAGGTAACTGGTAATACAGAGTTTAATCGAATTGCGAGACCGTTGCTAATAAACTGTAGCTGGAAAACGCATTTGCTTGGGAGTATCACTAACACCGAGATGGCCGCAAATCGACAATGGATCAGGCTCAATATCCTCATACTGCTTACGCAGTTGGTCTGGTTCGGCTTCGTGCACGCTGACAGTCAGACTTGCGACAGTCGTGTCCAGCAGTGTCCTTTGGGCTCGCTGGATCGGTTGATGGAAGACCGCCGAGGCGAGCTGGAAGATTATGATGAACATCTTGTGTACAGACAAATGGTTGAGCGGAATGACAAACTTGAGCACAGGCGCTTAACGCGAGAAGATAACCGACAAATCGAACGTGCTTCTGGGCGCGAGGAGAATGACTTGTTACGAAAACTCGAGCGAGACGAGAGGCAAGTCAATCGCAGAGAAGCTCGACGAGTTGATCTCTCTCGCCGAGATGATCTTCGACATGAGGAACGCGATAATCGTCGACGGGAGGATCGAGAGGAGCTCCAGCGAGAGGAACGCGAAGACTTACAACGTGAGGAACGCGATGACCGCCGACGAGAGGAACACGATAGCCGCCGACGAGAGGAACGCGATGATTTGCAACGTGAGGAACGAGATGTGTCTCGAAGGGAAAATCGTGAACACAGCGGACGTGTGGATGTAGAGCGTATGCAAAGTCGTCTGGGCAGGCAAATGAATCGCGAACGTGATTCGCAGCTTAATACTCACAATGCTTATCGCGGGGATATGCGGCGAGATGATCTCTCCCGACGCATTGATCTACGATTAGTTGAACGCGATGATCGCCGACATGAGGACCGAGACGAACATCGACGTGAGGACCGAGAAGGACTCCGACGAGAGGAACGCGATGATTTGCAACGAGAGCAACGAGATATATCTCCAAGACAAGAACGTAATGGCCATCAACGTGTAGATGCGGAGCGTATGGAAATACGCGTAAGTCGGGAGAGCTTGCGAAGGGCGGATAATAACCTATCTCGAACACAGGAACGTGAAGATCGACGCGCTGATCGCTCATTGCGTGAGGAACGTGATGACAGCCGACGGGAGGAGCAAGACGATCTCCGCCGTGAAGAGCGAGACAATCTCCGACAAGTGGAGCGAAGCGATCTCCGACGAGAGGACCGAGCTAGTATCCAACGAGAAGAACGAGATGATTCTCGAAGACAGGAGCGTGAAGACTCTCTATCAAGACGAGAGAATCGCGTTAATAATTTACATGAGGCGCGAGACAATCTCCGCCGAGAGGAGCGAGACAATCTCCGACAGGTGGAGCAAACCGATCTCCGACGAGAGGACCGAGCAAGTATCCGACGAGAAGAACGAGATGATTCTCGAAGACAGGAGCGTGATAATAATTTACATGAGGCGCGAGACAGTCCCCGACGAGAAGAGCGAGACAGTCTCCAGCGAGAGGAGCGAGACAATCTCCGTCAAGTGGAGCGAACCGATGTCCGACGAGAGGACCGAGCTAGTCTCCGACGAGAAGACTCTCTATCAAGACGAGAGGATCGCGTTAATAATTTACACGAGGCGCGAGACAGTCACCGACGAGAAGAGCGAGACAATCTCCGCCGAGAAGAGCGAGACAATCTCCGACAAGTGGAGCGAACCGATATCCGACGAGAGGACCGAGCTAGTCTCCGACGAGAAGAACGAGATGATTCTCGAAGGCAGGAACGTGAAGACTCTCTATCAAGACGAGAGGATCGCGTTAATAATTTACATGAGGCGCGAGACAATCACCGACGAGAAGAGCGAGACAATCTCCGCCAAGAACAGCGAGACAATCTCCGACAAGTGGAGCGAACCGATCTCCGACGAGAGGACCGAGCTAGTCTCCGACGAGAAGAACGAGATGATTCTCGAAGGCAGGAACGTGAAGACTCTCTATCAAGACGAGAGAATCGCGTTAATAATCTCCGACGTGAAGAGCGCGACAATCTCCACCGAGATGAGCGAGACAATCTCCGTCAAGTGGAGCGAACCGATGTCCGACGAGAGGACCGAGCTAGTCTCCGACGAGAAGACTCTCCATCAAGACGAGAGGATCACGTTAATAATTTACATGAGGCGCGAGACAATCTCCGACGAGAAGAGCGAGACAATCTCCGCCGAGAGGAGCGAGACGATCTCCGTCAAGTGGAGCGAACCGATCTCCGACGAGAGGACCGAGCTAGTCTCCGACGAGAAGAACGAGATGATTCTCGAAGACAGGAGCGTGAAGGCTCTCTATCAAGACGAGAAGATCACGTTAATAATTTACATGAGGCGCGAGACAATCACCGACGAGAAGAGCGAGACAATCTACGCCGAGAGGAGCGAGACAATCTCCGACAGGTGGAGCGAACCGATCTCCGACGAGAGGACCGAGCAAGTATCCGACGAGAAGAACGAGACAATCTCCGTCAAGTGGAGCGAACCGATCTCCGACGAGAGGACCCAGCTAGTCTCCGACGAGAAGAACGAGATGTTTCTCGAAGACAGGAGCGTGAAGAACGCCAACTTTTGGATGTCGAGCGAATGGATAATCGGCTGGACGGAGAGGAAAGAGACCTTACCCGAAGACTGCAACGAGAAGTTGAAGAGCGCTCAACTGCTCGCCATCACAAACAAGTTGATCGAGACGATCTAAAACGAGGACAGCGAGGCACTCTTCGGCGGAATCAACAAGGTGATTTCCGACGTGAGGAACGAGAAGATCTGCAACGGCAGGAACGTGATTATCTACGACGTGAGGTGCGCGTTGACCGAGAAAGAGATAGTCCTCGCCGAGAGGAACGTGTCAATCATCGGCATGAGGAAAGAGATATATCTCGAAGTCAGGAACGTGAAGACAGCCGCGGAATGGAAGTGGAGCAAATAAACAGACGACAAAATAGGGAGGAAATGCGGCGGGAGTCAAGAGACTTGACCAGAAGACAAGAAGGAGAAGATTTTCTTAATGGTAGATTAGAAAATCGTATGGAAGTTCGTCGCATTGATCTAACGCAAAACGAACGAGATTCATCTCAACGACAGGAGAGTGAAAACCACTCTCGTGTGGGTATGGAGCGAAGGGTGGCGAATGATTTGACACGAAGACAAGTACGAGAAGATCGCGTTCGCTTAGATAGTCGTAATGTAAATCGCATGGAAGTACGAGGAGACAATCTCGTCCGAAGTGAGGGACGCAATGCTCGCCGACGTGAGGAACGAGACGACCTCAGGCGTGAGGATCGAAATGAAATCCGACAGGAGGAACGAGACCTATCTCGAAGACAGGAGCGTGAGGATCGCTATCGTCTGAATACAGAGCGAGTAAATCGTAAGGAGAATGAACTGTCCCGACTACAGGAACGGGAAGTCCGTGAGCGCACAGACAATCGTAATGACAATCGTTTGGAAGAGAAGCGGGACAGTCTTTCACGAAATGTGGATCGTGATGAAAGCCGACGAGAGCGATATACTGATCTCCGACGAGAAGATCCACGACAGGAGGAACGACGGCAGGAGCGAGAACAGGAAGTCGATCGGAAGTTGACTACCCAGCGAAGACAGGAACGAGATTTGTCGCTAATGTATTTAGACGAGAGTCTGGAAAACCAAATGCACACCACCCAGAAAAAGGCAATTAGTTGGTTAAGCAATAACTACTGCCAACAAGGACTTTTGGTTACTGGCCAGGCGCTGATTCTGTTACTACTATATACCAAGTTGAACAGCAGCCGCAAAGGATTCGATCTTGGGTAAGCGATTGTGGCGCAATTGCTTTTCATACTATATTTAAAATATTTATATTATTCCATAGGAATAAGCTTGGTGATCATATCCAGAGCTTTCTACATCCAATCGACTGTTAGGATTTCTAAGACAAGGCTTTACCTGATAACCGGATAACCTGAAACGCATAAGTACCTAATAAATCGCTAAATCCTATTATATGGACCATATGTCCCTTATCGTACAACATAGAGAGCAACGAGTTTAACGCAGAGAGTGGATCTGAGATGTGGCTACAAATGCATTGTACAATTTAATCCAAACGTTATTGTAACTAAAAACTACACGAAACTAGCAACCAACAAATATAAGTTATACATAGTTGAGCATATGCAGCCGAGTACTGTGTTTCAATTCTATTTCCTAGTGTGGGCATCTGCGGTTGCTCGGCCCAACAAAATCGCATAGACTTGGGCTGCCAGGGTAACGCCCATAGCACCAGTCCCCAGGGCCGCTCCAATAGTCCTCTTGGCATATTCGAGCACATACCTGGCCTTGCCAGCAGTGGCCAATGCATACGAGTACGGATTGTACCTACTTAAAAGTTTGGGCAATCCCACGCAAGCAAACAAGCAAGCAAGCTATACACTCGCACACACACACACACACTCACGCACAGGTCTGAAGTGGAAAAATATTATTGCGATTTTCCATGTCAGTTGCCTTCATCCTTGTTCGCCTTTTGTAGGGTAGAGAGTATCATCGTATCGCACATAGTTGCCGGACTGGTCTATACATCTTTCGGTTTTCAGAGGATTTCACCAAGGCTGACCGACTAGAGCCCGTAAGCCATCCTTAATCAGTGAGACCAACACAAATTTTACACATTTTCTTCTACTGGGGATTATTTTGAATGGTAAATGTGTGTGTACTCAATTTCAGGACTTGCACCCACATAGACAGACGGATATGCAGACATACATACAAACAGATTATAAACACTTGCAGTGTGTGTTTCAAATTTCTTTGCAGTTTTCACATTAAATATATTCTCTCTCATGGCGCAAAATGTAACTGTATTTATTAATCAGAAAGTATATTTCTTAGAATCATTGTTTTTCTCTTCTTAATTGGGTGTTTTTTCCACATGTAGACAAAGAACTTCTAAAATTAGTCTTTTCTGGTTCTTATTATTGATAAACATTAGTATTTTTAGATTTAATTTAATTTAATTTCGAAAAAAACTCAACACGATTTGAGTCCACTATCCTTGATTAGTCGCGAGTCGAGTGACTTCCTACTGAGATACGCGGAGAGGACAGCTAATTTCTTATATAAAAGACAAGCCTGAAAATTTCATTACTTGTTTCTGAATTGTAGAGAGGATTTTCTCTTCAAAAATGAGGATTTTCATTTATACTTTTTAGAAATACCTTCAAAGCACCGTATTTTTGGGATTGACGAATTAGAGAAAGCCTATTTAATTTCTTAGATATTTCTTTTCTTTTGTTTGCAAACTATTTTGAGAAACAATAGAAACTTTATAGTTTTCAGGGCGATTTTCTACAAAATTAGAATTAAAACTAAAATTAAATAAAATACGTATATTTATACAACTATAGCAAAGTTCAATGACATAAGTTGCATACCATCTGAAATGTTGAACTTTCTTTCCAAAAATTCACATTAAGTTATTTTATTACACATTATTCAAACATTTGTGTGCTTTTTGCTTAATGTTCGGCTTGATTGCAAAAGTTGAATCGATTTTGAAGCCAGTTTAGATAATTATGTACGCATCCAAAATCCCCCGAGCCGTTTAAGCGCTTATCGAAGCAATAAAATGGAAATTTATGAGAAGATTGTGCTCCACGGCGTGAACGCCATTTGTTTGTCTCACATAATTAGCTGGACTTGGCTCGATTTACTTCATATTTGTTACCTAATTGTCATTTGCAGCTATAAACAATATGTAACGAACTCCAGCTGACTACCCATAAACATTGCTGTGTATCTTTGCTATTAGCTTGGCAAGCACAACAACAATTTTCAATTTATGAGCTTATAACCGCACACTTTCAGCTCTGTGTAACTTTGGTTGTTATATGCATGTCCAAGGTAAACACACACACACACACACATACACACACATACACCCACGCAGACACACACACAGACACACACACAGACACACACACAGACACACACACGGACACACAGACAAATGGCGACACTCGCAGCAGGGTTATTCGATATTAAAATGCCACAAAAGCGCAATAAACCAACAAGAAAATATCATAAAAAATTGAGTTTTCAATATTTATTCGAATTAAATAATTCACGCGCGTTGGGCCGAGTACCATATCTGGGCAAAAGAAAACCGCACAGCCCAGCAGCGTATGAGCAAACGAGAGAGAGATAGCGAGAGAGAGAGCGAGAGAGAGAGAGACACATAGAGGAACTGCGAGCGGTTGAATTGTGAATGCGTGCCTCTGTTTGTGTGTGTGTGTGTGTGTGCGGCTAGACTACCGGAAGGGCTCAAGAAGCGTTACTGAATAAAGGCGCTGGCATTTACACAGTTCGGGTTCCGTTGGGTCTTTTGGGTTTGTGTACGTACGGCATTTTACGAGCATTTGAGGTTTATTTTATGCTTTTAACCACACTCACAAACACACCCAGACACACACAACCCCTCACACACACACACGCACACACACAGACACACCAAATGCAAAACAACATAAATTTTGTTTCAGAAATCATAAATTTCAATAAAGGCAAAAAAGTTTATTTTCTTTTTTACGGAGATATCGAATTTGAAATACCCTTAGATACTCACATATGCAATATATTGAATTGAGTACACTGTAATAAAATCCCTCTGATATTTACAGAATCGCATACAAATTGGAGAGTTCTTCTTGTTTTTCGAAATAATTTCTAAACATGAGAAAATCTTTTGTTGTTGACTTTTTATACAACTTTTCAATTATAATATACTTTTAAATAATTTATATAAAGCTACAAAAATGCTAATTTAACAACTATTCACGGTGTACATATTGAAAGCACCATCCTCGAAAAATCCACCATAAAATTAAGAAATACAAGAAGTGTTTTTTACAAAGCGACAACTTTCATATTTCCAAATTTACATTCTGAACAATAAGGTGAGGAACCCGAGGCATGTACTTAATTCTATCACTATATCTCCACACTAGCACTAATCAGACAATTGTGGGAGATATGCGGCTTTATCGATTTGCGATTTTATCACTTTTATCGGTTTCCTATTCTCCTAGTGGACGTAGCACACAAATTTGTACACATTATCGCGGGCACAGACCTGTATATCCATGTTTGATGGACAGACACCATGACGGACAATGCTCTAAACCAATTGAATATGATACCTATGCTATCAAAGTATATAAAACAAGCGAGAACGTTGCAATCGGGTATAAACCCTTGTGGAATATTCTGTTATCAATGTATTAGCAACTGATAACTGGTGGCAACCAACCTTCATCTGGAGCAGCTGAATGTGAATGTGCCATACCATTGAATAATCATTAACGTGCCTCATAAATTTGGTGATTTTATCTGTAAAATTACGAGAGATATAGAATCTCCCAATTATTGGTGTCGGGTTGAATAAATAAATTGACTTCCCAATCTTAGAAAAAGTGTCATAAAAATCTGCCTTCTAAGTTAGGTAAGTCTTCATCTAAGCCTGCAGTAGATGTAGGCTTTTGCCCTTTTTTTTTTTTTGGAGAGCGGGCGTTGTTGGTTTGTTTTCCGCTTTCATAGACTTAGACTTAGGACACTCGTACGTAGCGTGAAAACGCTTTCAAGTGTCACAACAAATCGTTCAATAATCATTATTTGTTGTGCTCGTAATTCTCAAATTTATCATTCATTTATAAGATTTTTTTATGCGTGAGTTGCGTATTTTGTCTCAGCCGTAATTTCCGTACTGCAAATAAATAGGACCCGCACCCCACCACCCCTCCACCCCCAACTACAACACTAGTAGAGCGTGTATTTAATTTCCTTTTTCAGTGTCCTCGCCCCCATCTCGAATTGTTGCTGCTGCTCATTTCAGTTGAGCGCTGCGCGTACTGAATATGAATCACGTTCTTATTTTCCATATTGATTGAAGTCGAGCAAACAGACAACCAAACGCTACCCGCACCCCAAAAGCAACCCCCCACTCGCCATCTACCTCTTCCCTTACACCAGCAACCCCTGTTCAACACCCAACCGCTCGACCCGCATATTTCAACATTGATTAGCGCTGCTTGCCAGCGTTTTTGAGCGACTATGAATGGTAATGATTTGGTGTGGGGAGCTGCTGAAGTGGGGCAAAGATGGGGGCGCTGAAGTGCAGCTGCGGCTGCATCCACGGTTGAATTCAGCATTTTCAAATTACAATCCTCGTTCACTTTGGTGTCGAATTTAATTGGCATTTTGTATCGATCAATCGACATGGCACAATGTGAACAGTTAAGCATGTTTGCCTGGATAAAATGCCGATGGTCGGTGAGATGATTAAAAAGTTATTCAGATGAAAAAGTTATTCAAACTGAATCAGTTTCGAATGTGTACTACCAGTTTGTTGATGTGTTCAATTCTCAATTTATTTGAAAATCGATTATCAAACTCTTTTTGAGTTCATTTCATACGAATTTGCACAAGTTAATGTTGGTTAAAATTCAAATGTACAGGGTATTGGGTAGTCAGCACATTATGGACATGTTTTAAGCTGCGTCCTTGCTAAAAAAATAAAAAAAATAAAAAATAAAAAAATTCCTAAGCCATGCTGAACTGGCAGATGGTCGTTGGTGTTGGCCTGTGCTCTCCATTCTCTTTGCGAGCTCTGCCCGTGTTTATGCAAATATTTGTATTCCATTTGCATTTCAAAAATTGAAATTTTTATATCTTACGCTCTCTCGCATTTATAATGCGATTTGCCAGGGAAAAAATTTAATTTTTGCACAATTTAGAACAAGTTGATTAAGCATTTTGATGCCAGCTGCAAAAGCTGTTGCATAAATTTGCCACACACCCCACCCACTCCCCAACCAACTCCCAATCCTGCCTTTGCAGCCCCAACTATGGGGCTAATGATTACCATTAGAACCTTAAGCAGCCCTTAGGCTCTTCACTGCTAACGATAATAATGCATATAAATACTTGTGTACAGAACTTAAGAACAGCTGCAGGCAATCATGGCACAAAAATGCCCAAATAATGAAGTTGAACCTTTTCTTTTAAGTATTTCCTTATGCGAGTATATATATATATAAATGTACAAAGGTGTACGTATTTATATATATAGTTGCAGGCTTAACAGTAAATAAGATGTCGATGTGGCAAATTATTAATGTAGAATGCCAT